GTGTTATTAGCTAGTTTATATCATCTTCAACAAATACTCATTGCAAAACACTAATCTGCATTGTGAAGTATTTGAAGAAAGCACTAAAAAAAGGAATTGTGTACAAAGATTATAGACATGCACAAATAGAGTTGTTTTCTGATGCTAATTGGGTAGGATCTATGGATAGAAAATTTACTACTGAATATTATGTGTTCTTGAGAGGTAACTTAATTTCATGGAAAGGTAAGAAGCAGAATGTTGTATCAAGATCTAGTGCAAAATTAAAATACATTGGTGTGGGTTAATGTGGTTGAAACATATATTGGAAGAGATAGGATTTTGCAGCACTAAGCCTATGTAACTTTGGTGTGATAACCAGGCGGTGATATACATTGCCTCAAATCTAGTTTTTCATGAATGGATTAAACATATTGAGATAGATTATCACTTTATTTGAGAAAAAGTTGATCAAAAGATTATATCCATCTCTTATGTTAGGATAAGCGACCAACTAGTAGATGTGTTTACAAAAACTTTAATGGGACACGTAGCAATTATATTTGTAACAAGCTGGACATGATTAATATTTATGCTCCAGCTTGAGGAGGAGTGTTATGAATAACTATAGTAGACTTATTAGGATTGTATATATATCTTTATAAATATAAGAGTCTCTACACATTGTAGAGTATATATCTAATTCTAACACACTAATCTGTCTCTCTCTTTCTCTCTTAATTCTACATCAACCTTAAAACATACATGTACATAACACAATTAAAATAACAAGTAAACAAATAGAAATAATACTTTTATTTAATTTCTAAAATGTGTATAATAATATGAGTAAAACAATCTATATATATACACATATTTTGATAACTATTCTTTTATTTATCTTAAAGCGGGAGGAAAAGTTTCTTTATAATTGTATTTTCAATTATACTCTCAATGGCTTTATATTCTATATTTAACGACTATCACGTTAAATCATTAATTAGAACCATGCTATAAGTTACATATAATACTACATGAATCATTAAAATAATCTAATAATTTTTTACAAAACAAAAAGAATTAAGGTGCATTGAGTAAACATCTTAATTGATGGTGGCACTTATTAGACACATCCTATTAAATACTTTGTTCAATCCATAACTATAAGTTTCACTCAATTAAGACTCATTAACCTTTTAAAAGGAGAACAATTAGGGGCATTTGGAAGAGCTTGCAGAGAGTTTATAGCAAAAAGAAGGAAGATGAAACTCCTCTCCACGAACAAGGAGTTTTGTCACTATTGTTCTAGTTTACAACCTTATAAAGAGGGTCGTTAAGCACTATGCACTTGAAAGAAAGCAATAGAACATTGTCTCTCCTTAAGCCATTGCATTTGTTAACAATGAGGAGAAGAATGAATGCAACAACTAGAGCTTAAAGAGGATACCAACACAGTGGGGCATTACAAGGACTTGTTATTGGATTTTAAATGTTGGGAAGTGGCTTAAATGAAAATTGTTTTTTTTTCTTAATCGAATTATTCATTTAAGGGAGAATAGAATTGGTGTCCAATTTCCACGGTAGACAATTTGGATCCATACAGTAAATAGTTGCTCGTAGCAACTTTCACCTGGTATATATTGTAATATCCTTATTTTATATTTATTATTTTAGTATTGAATATTAGTTGTATGTGTGAAGTTATTTGAATTTTAGAGAGTTTAAATGATGTAAGTTGCAGGATCTCTCGTTGTAGCGAGATATCTCTCATTGTGACGAGAAAGAGCATCCAGAATCAGGCTCTCTAACACTCCCTGGCTATAGCAAGGATTCTCTTGCTGTAGCGAGAATGCTCTCACTGTAGCGAGAAGCTCTCGCTGTAGCTAGAATGACAAAGAGCAAAGTGAAATTTTGTCTGATTTTTTCGCTACAGCAAGCCAAGAATATCGTGAGTTAAGATGTATTTAAGGATTTTCAACTTAGAAAACTTAGATTACAATCTAAGTTTTTGACCTCTTCCTTGTTATCTCTGCTCTCTAACATCTCTTCTCAGAAATCTCTACTAAACTTCGACTTTTCTTTGAATTCGAGCTTGGAAGTTCACCCAATCAACTCCAAGTAAGCTCTTGGAGCTTAGTTCTCTCACTTTTGTTTGTTTTTTATATTTCTCCCTTCTCAAAATGCTCTCTTTTGTGATATCTAGGAAAAGCTAGGACCTTTTATGAAAACCCCCTATAAACCTTCCTTCAAAACTTCGTTTCAAGGTAAGGAGGGTTTTGTTTTGCTATTTTAAACATAATAAATATTTTGTACCTAGGAGAGTACTTTGTGTATGTGTTCTTGTATGATTTTTTTTATTGAATGACATTGGATTGTTGTAAAAGTATGTTTTGTTGATTTTGGGTGTTAGTGATAAATTCTCATAGTATAAGTATTGGGAACTTAGCCTGGAAGTGCTTTACTAAGCACAACCTTTTACTTAAGTTGTGAGTTTGGTACAAAAAAGAGTAGGTATAAGTGTAAAAAGCTGAATGGATCTAATATGAATAGTTACTGAGATACACTGAAGGTATAAAGTCCAGAGACGATGAAAAATCTGGAGGAAACATAGTGTGGTTAACGACATTCACACATGTGTACACACTCTTTCTAAGAGCGAATGACCACATAGCCTCACACCCATTTTCTGACTAGACTCCAACTATACCTTTGCTAAAGGACCTGTTATTGTATACGTTGTATCCGTATGCATGGGCTAACTGGTGACTATTTACCTAGTTGTGTAAGACATCAAGAACTGCTAGAGGCATCGTATATCTGTGATCACAGTGTACTGAGAGTGCATATATGAAAGAGAGGAATATAATAATTTATGATGGAGTATATGCATATGTGATATATTGTTTTTGAGATTGATATTATTATGTTATCTTATGTTCAATGATTATGATCATAATGTGATGTTGGTCTTTAAAATAGTGTTATATTTAAATGATAAAATAGATGTTCGTCCTTATTGAATGTTTAAAGAAACTAGGATGACGGCGCCTCAGGAAAGAATTAGGCTAATAGACAGTTCTGTACACAATAGACTAAACTATGTATTTAATGAGTAACAGAGAACATGTTATTTTAAGTTTGTTGTCCATGTTGATGATGTACCCAGGAATATTATTATGTTAGAGATGGATCTATTTTATGATATTCCCTTTGATATTCCTGTAAGTAGAATACACCATACTCTATGCATCTATATCTATAGAGACACGGTTAGGTCCCTAGCAAACTTCACATATTTGTTTACATATCATTACCATGACAATCTTGGAAGATCGACCTGAGTTACCAGTGAATGTGTTAGAGGTGTTGATATTACGACCGACTTAGAAGATTTACATCTCAGATCAGATGATGACCTCAATTATGAGGATTTAGAAGAGATAAAGAGATTGCACGGAGATGACCAATACTAGGTCCTCAATGTTGAGATATATTTTGAGGCTGCTCTGGGACTCTATCTATTATAGTTATGTAATTATTATTTGAATCCTATGTATTTTGACAAATAGTTTATAAATTATTGTATTTAACATATATAAATGCGGACTTGTATCCATATTTGTAAAATTATTTCCAGTTGATTATGATTTTTATTTCATTGTTACTTAATTAATATTGTATGATTAGTAAATTTTATAACTAACTTTATTTATAAAGAGATATTTTATTTATCCGTAATTACAATACTTGTCATATACAAAACAGTTCATATTTTATGCTAAGTTTGTACAAATAGAACAAGCAATTTAAGACTAAAATTTTAAGATGTTACATATATTGCACTGCTATTTGAATTAATAATTGATAAAATCTACATTACCTTTATAATTAAAAGGATTTGGTACAATCATGATTGTTAATATTAGATTAATAGATAATAGAGTTTATAGTTTAGTTAATACCATTTTATTTTTAAGATATTAAAAGAATTACGATCATTAATATGAAGAGAGTATAAATATCATCTCAAGTTTACATATATTACAGCAAGCACCTTAATATTTTATGAAATGCAATTCATGTTACTATAAGATTTTACAGCCTTTATGTAGGCCTTTTTTTTTTCAAGCGCTCTAGCTTTCCACTAGACAATTTCGTGCGGTTCATATTTCCTGAAAATACTTACATGCAAGGATTATAAGCATGGCCAGTTGGTCATTATAAATATATTGAGAAAAAGCTTAAAACGTTTTACTTTTGTGATTTTAATTTTAGTTTTTAACTTTTTAATTTAATATTTTAAATTTCTCGCTGACATGGCACTATAAAAATTCAATGCATGACGCAAAATAACTTTGTAATTAGTTATGCTGTAATTCAGGATCAATTAATGTTTAATTAAAAAATCAGACTAAAATTTTTTAAAAGTTGATGAACTAAAAGCAAAATTTTACAAAAATATCAAGATTAAAGGTGTATTTAAATCTTAAAAATTTGATTTTTATTTTTATTTTTTTTGCAATGAAAGAAACTTAAAAGATAAAAATTATGAGCTCAGATGACAAATGCCTAGCCTATCCCCAAGTAGCAGTAACCGCAGCTCAGTCGATGGGGATCTCAGAATAAAAAATCTTTCATGTGATGCGCCACGTTTAGCGAAAAAATCAGCACAGGAGTGTTCTACGACGGATAACGATCATTTGCTTGAAAGTTGAAACAATTTAACACAAATTAGTCAACCCAATTTCATTATAATAAAATATTTATATTTACTGTTATTTCAGGTTACCAAAAGAAAACTTTAACTTCAGTTACTAAAAAAAAAATTAACAGCACTTGAGCAACAGATCAACTGTTCTTAAATTTTGTTCTTATTTTTATCTTAAAAAAATAAAATGATAAAAAAAAGTAAAACAATAGGTGTCAATTGCAATTACGAGTGTATACTCATGGACACAAGATTTTTTCCTCGACACCCAAAAAATAATAAAATTTGAATTCAATGAAACAGGTTATTTCCAGCAAAGAAAATCTATATCATTTCTCGAATTTCAAAAAATTACAATGTTACTCTGCTGCCATATCGACCCAACAATTGTACATATTGCACATCGACGAACCAATTGAGCACCTGCAGCGCCAGTTTTAGAATACAAAAACGCAAGCGCCTTAGTTTTACAAAAATGGCCACACATCTACAAAAATGGGAAAGGCAGCATTTAGAACAATCGCTTCCTGCAGCCTGGGGCTCCACAATAGCAAGGCATTTGCTTGGTCTTCCCGTCGGGGCCCAAGACGCTATCAAGCGCATAACCATAGTCATAAGTCAACTCCTGCAAGCAATCAAAGCCATTCAAGACATTGACTGTTAAAAATACTACAAAGCAACCCAACCCCGAATAACAAATGTTAGCAAGCCAGTTTCGTAATTTTTAACACACATTCCAAAGGAGATTAATTTGGGGAAAATGAAGAAAAGCAGTTTACCTGCAAAGGGGGTATGTTATCGGCAGCAAACAACATTACACGAGCCAATCTCAAATCATGGTGTGTGCTCAAAACACATTGAACAAACAGGTTAGGCTCACAACAATGGTTTATAAACCTAGCAATATTTCCTGTAGATCCTGCATCAATGCAAAACTCTGGAATGCTTTCAGAACCTGGGTCATCATATTTGTCCAAAAGACTCGCAGCAAATGCTCCATTTTGTGACCGCCTCTGTCAAAATTAATGTCATAAAAGAGAGACAAAACAAAAGTTCTCGGCACCAGAAGTAGCTGACAAAAATATAATTACAAGCTTTCCCCATTCAATACCTCTCTTCCACCAAGCCCCTTGATCGTTTGCAAGCAATCTATCTCAAAAATATAATTGTTTTCTAACACACTGTCCATATCTTCCGTCCTAGCAAGTATTCCAGTGTACTCACAAACTGGTGCTCCAGAAGGTATAAAATCCCAGGATCTAACAGCCCATCCTTTTTTTGCAGTACGGAAAACCTATGTAATAGCTTAAATACGTAAAATTAAAAACCCACTATATGTACACCTAACAATACAAAAATGAGGAAACCAAAAATAAGCAACCTCCAGACGATATCTAAGTCCTTTTTGAGATGTTCGGTTCAAACAATCAGGATCACAACCACATTTGGGACCACATTCAAAAACGACATCTTTAGCTTCAATTAACCTGTCAATATATACAGGCAAGCAACATCAAATATTAGAGCAAAAAAGAAGGCATTCAATCAATCAAGTTCTAACCTGTCACCATCCCGAGATACATAGGGAAAATCAGAGCCATTACGCAATGCACATTCACAAGTTGTTGGATCATTGCATTTCCCTTTGCATTTACATCCAATGGCATTCATGGGAAGCTTCACATTTTTTGCAACCTTAACAGACTTAAGATACCTGAAACCTATAATTTTAAAAATTCAGACATCAAACCAAAGAGTGCACAAAGGGAAACTTAGTTTTTGTAATACTTGTACATATTATTGGATAACCATCACAACATTAAGTTGTTAAAAATAAGTCTAGCATATAAGAAAATGAACAGGTGGATAACATGTATAAAAAAATAAATCCACTTCTCCAATCAGAATGATTTTCATAACTGATTGATTTAACTTATTTCAGAAAAATAATCTTATATGACATCTTCACTAAGACAGCTTTGGTAGAAATAAAAATAATAACCCTCCACACCCAAAAAGAAAAGCAATGTTACCACATAGACATCACATAATATAGAACAAAAGTAGAGTTATTTAAATTATTATAATGATTTTAATTATAGTAACCTCACAACAATGTATCATGTATAATGAGTTAACAAAGTAAAATATGTAAGTAAGATCTAGTTAACACATACGAAAAATGATGTATCCTTGAACAATAAAAGAAGATTAAAACCGTACTTATGGCAAGAAATAATCAACCAAAGAAATTTTGAAGCAACAAGAATTCATGCTTTGACTATATACATATAAAGCTGGGATTCAACTTGCCTGTTGGTGGAACAGGGGGATCATCAACCAAATTTGTAGCAGGAATGGGCATATCTTCTTGACCTCCAGTAATATCCTTACAAACCAATCTAAGCAAAGTATAACAAGATGTTAGGCACATATAATTTAGAATATTAAATGCTCCATTGGTTATGCCATCCATTGCCCCAAGGACAATGGTTAAGAAATTAATAAATAGAAAACTTTTATTGGAAATCATGGTGGAGATACACTTGTATCATTAAATGGTTCCAACAAAAACTTTCCACTTCTGATTTTTAATCATTGCCTTGAGCGCAATGGTTAGCAAAACTGAATTTATATAATTTTTTTACCCTCGTATTTCTGCTAGAGTTTGAGGTACACGTCCATAAGTAAAATAAACCTGTTAACACAACAAAATAAGCCAAGATATTTTAAAGCCACACTGCTTAGACTACAAATTAAATCCCCTAAGGAAATGTTTTGTAGTTGGGTTAGAATGAGGTGAAATGTAAAATGGATTCATTTCAATATTTGATGCATTTTAAAAATAGAATAGTGGAAACAAGGTTAAAAAAAGAAGTTACAATTTGATTCTACTAAAAATGTAGAACCAAGGAGAACAGAACAGAACACATAGTTCTGTGTGCTAAACAGTACCTAAAGGAAATAGAAAAATGAACAATACAGTTCTACAACTAGTTATTTGGGTAAGCACAAAATAAACATTAAAATGGGGAAAGAAATCAAGAAAACTTCTGTTAAAAAAAAATTTATGGTACAAACCAGTGACACCACACACACATGGGAAGAAGCCAAGATTACATGCAAGTGGGTAAATGGCCATGTTAGTGATCTCAATGCTCTTTCCATTCTTTAAAAATAAGTGCTACATAGAACTTGATAGTAATTTCTTTATATCTAATGACAGGATTTTATAAGCATCAATAATAAAAGTTGCTAATAACTAGCTATAGTAACATTTTTGTTGTTCTAGTTACTTTTATAGCTCAGTTTGATTAGTTATTCTTTTATATTTGTAATAGAGCCGTATACAAATTACAATATAAAACTAAATAAGTTCTCTTTATCCAATCCAAAAACACTTGAATGTCCTCCACAAGACAATTTTTAAAAATTAAAGATACAGATATGTTAAAAATATTTAAATAATATAAAACAAAACAACGAAGTTAAAACATTTGTTGTTTTGCAAACATACAAATAAAAGAAATAACAATCTAACATTTCATAGCACACAAGTATGGATGAATAGATTTGATTAAAGAGAAAATTTGAGAGAAAGGCAAAAAAATCCCTACATCTAACTGAAAAAATGTCATTTCCCAGGACTATGATCTAGCAACTACCAAAGGCATACTGAATTATACCCCAAGACATACTCAAGCTGCATACAAATTTAAAAAAATAAATTGATAAATACTCAAGTGACCCAGTGGGTACCAGTACCCTGTAGCTTAACTTACCAGGTACAGAAACTTTTGACAAAATGAAATGTCCATGCTTTGAACATCACATATTTTGTTAACCAAAACCATTTTGTGAGGCAGCTACTCTCATATAGAACATTCATGTTGTTGCTATAGAGCACTGCTTAAGATTCTCTACTTTGAAGCAGTTTTTATGTTTCGTTGTAATTAATGATGTTTTAGATGAAAACAAGAAATCTAAAATCATGAGATAATGTGCCGGTGATGCAGTTAAGGCTCATTTAGTTTAAGAAAATATTTTTGGTTTTTATTATTTTTTTCTAATAACAACTACAGAGGTTGTCTGGTTTGCATTTTGTTTCCTATTTTCTAATATTTGTATAAGAAATCTTTTACTACTGAAAACAAAGCTAAAATAGCGATATTTTTTGTGGTTGCTAGTGAAAATAAATAGAAACAAAACATTTCCAAACCAAACAGGTTCTTACATTTTCAAAGTTTCCCTTTACTCTTATAGTTTTTATGCATTGCACAGGATTTCAATTATGACTTAGTTCGGGTGCTATCCCCACAAGGGTCACAAATAGGGATAAAAAAGTTTACTTTTGACACAACTATTAAAATGGTAGGTGCTAGTTACAAAGGGTGAGTAGATGCAATGTTATCATGACTGTAGACAAGGGGATTAAAAGTAATTTTATGTAATCACCCAGTTTAAATAAACATCATTTAAGGGGACTTTTAATCAAAAGATCACATAAGCTGATGCATTAACATGTTTAAACCAGAAGAACCTATCCCTAGTATTAGTTAAGTAACCCCAATTAGTAGATAGTTACAAAGTTACACTATGTTAGTTACATTAGTTAAGTGAGAAAGTTTTAATAAGTCGTGTTGCTTATAAATAAAAAAGGAGGTTAAGAGAGAAACATCTCATCGTTTGATAGAAAATAGGGGCCTTTGGCTTTGGGAGGTGAAGACCCTCAAAGTTTCTACAATATATATCAACTCACTAGGTTGCAGCTCACACGTACATTATTGTAGATCAATCCAAAAGTAATGTATATTTCATTCCAAATATCATGCCTTAAAATTAAACCCCAACCCGTACTATATGAAGAAAGAAACACAGGGGAGACCAAGAGCACAAGGCTCCCACCTATTTGGGTCTTGGAAGGATAAATGGACACAGCCATACCCCATACCCCACAAGTAGAACAACCGTTTTAAGGATTTAACCCCATGACCTATAGATTACAAGGAAGCAATGCAAACATTGCATCATGGCTTGCCCTCGTGATGAATAAAATGAAATTTTATGGAAAAAAAGGCAATCAAGGAATTAAGGTTGAAAGGATTTTATTAAAAAGTATAATTAATACTTTTGTCGCAATTGTCAATAAAAGCATTCTATTTATTGAACCATTAACGAGTGCCTAGGCACTCATTAACAAAAGCCACAAAAATAATAAGCAACAAAACACGAATATGTATTTTGGAAAAATTAGACAGATGTATTTAAACCTGATTTGTGGTTAATGTAGGTTGCCCTTCATGCCTCCTAAGTCGAAACTTGTAGACTGTAAATCCAGATATTCCTTTTTCTGCCCAATATTTGACAACCTGCCAAAAAAGAGAAAAGAACATAAATTGTTTGAGTTATAACCCCTAAACTTGCAGGCAAATGCTGTCTCCATCTCTACCTTGTCAATTAAAAAGTGCAAGATTAGAGAGATGAGTAAATGTCATTATAAAGACAATTAAAATAAAATTAGAATTAGAAGAAATTGAATATAGAAGCTAGCTACGCAAACAAACTTCTATTTTTGGTGCAAAAATAAATCATGAAAAGAAGGCATCAACTCTCCCAACAAATCTCAAAGCTTGCTATAATACTGATTGGCTTTGATAAACAGTTTGAGAAGACAGCAATATTCATCCTAGTGCAACAAATGGAAAGCTTACAGAACTTGCTAATGAGGATGACAATAATAGGATAAGATCATAGTTATGGATATTGCCACTGTTGCGTCACTGCAGGGTGGAGCAGCAATGGGCCACAAAATTGTAACTGTCACGGAGTATTACTTCTATTGCAGAGGTCACAACCTAATTGCAGACAAAAAATCAGGGTGTTGGTGCACTCTATTTTTCTGCTTCAAACACTGCATTGTTTATCACTCTATACATGCATTTATTTTGCTTCTTCTGGTTCACTGTTTTTCTGCTTCAAACCTTGCTCTGTTTCTCACTCTACATCTTCTCATTTCTGTCATCTCCAAAGTCTGTCTTCTCTTTTCCAGCCATGGTATTATCCCAACATCCTCAAAAGAATGGTGGTTCATCAACCTCCACTTGTGCCTTGGTGAAGCCCTTGATATTGCATGGCAATGAAATAGTTTGAAGGGTAACTTGTGATTGCTGTGAAAAAACAACTATTGGAGATATTACTATAGCAAAAAGACACCAAATGGTAATAAGGGGAGATGTGGGTTCTTGTGAGAAAATCCTATTGGAGATTAAGAAGCAACTCATTGCAGCATTCCAACAAAAAAGGCTGAAAATGATGCTGAGTTGAAGGAAGATGAAGATGTACATCACATCAGAGCTGAAAAACGACCAGCAGTTCAAGACGATAACAGTGGCTGCAGCTGCAGCTTTTCTTTCTGCTGCCAAGAAGGGAAAAAAATATCAAAGGTCCTATGGATTTGCTTCTCCTTAAGAATACAGAGGCATCAATTAAATTGGGAAGGGCTAAAAGTCAAACAAGCATTAATGATGCTTGTGATAAAGAAGCAAGGGTTGGAACAATCCAAAACATTGCTAAGTGTGTTTACATAAATTCAATCTTTCAAAGTTGTTAAGCCCAAGCGGTGACTAATAACGATAGTAAGCATGGTTGTTAAATCATAGTAGTCAAAATTGCATGCCACCGCGTAGGATCATACAATTTTATTATCTCTAGCCACCTTTCCGTGCTAGATTGCCCTTGGAGACGCAAAAGACTAGGATTGGGTGGGATCACTGAGCTGGACCGTAAAATTGGTAAGCTCAAACGATCTTGACGCATAGAGAACTTGAATTTTTGGGCAAGTGACTTCATTCCACTCCACAGCCATCAGTTTTGCTTTTCTCAGGCGACTGGGTTTGGTCCTAGTGATTGCGATTTGCTTTGCGCTGGGGTTTTCTCTACTCTATTTTTTCTTTTTAATCCTCATCATCTTTGGGCAACTGTGAGTGGGTCTGTTCTTTGTTCTGTTTGTTGTGGGTAGATTTGTTCAGCTGTTCTGCTCTGCTATTTGACAAAATGGCTTCAACTAGTAGTCAGGCTCTTACCAAAGAATGCACTAGGAAATAAAAGTGATATAGCATGGCAACATGGAATTGCAATTGAAAGTACAAGATCCAATGCAAATATTGTCAAAGTAGTAAGGGGAGGTGCTTATCAATTGAAGCATCACTTGGCTCAAATAGCCAAAGATGTTGGAGCATGCAAATCTGTTCCAAATGAGGTTAGAAAGAAAATGTAGAACTTACTTATAAGCTTGCAAGAAAAGTTGAATAAAAAATCAAATTTCCTTGCTAGCTGTTCTGGTGCCTAGGAGATTGAGAGGGAGATTTTAGATACTAGTGGAAGTAAAAGAAAATCAAGTGAGAATGAGGTGACTTGAGGAGAAAATATTTTTCGGAAAAAGGGTGTAACCACAAAAGCAGCAATCAACAACCTATTAAACAAAACTAAAAGAGAGTAAGCTTGTCAAGCTATTGGAAGGTTTTTTTTTATAATAATGCCATATCATTCAATGTGGCAAGAAGTGATGAATTTTTTGTTGTGTGATATAATAGCTAGTCATGTCATGGATTTAAACCACAAAACTATCATGAAATTAGGGTAAAATATTTGAAGGAAATAGATTTGATAAGGGAGAGGTTAGAAGAAAATAGAGCTGAATGAAATATTGTTAGATGTATATTAATGACTGATAAATGGATTAATAAGAGAAGAACAATATTAAACCTGGTAAATAGTCCTAAAGGAACCTTTTTTTTTTGTCTATTGATGCATCTCATATAGATAGAACAATAAAATATTTAAAATACTTGATAATATTATTGAAGAGATTGGTGAGAAAAATGTAGTCCAAATTATGACTAATAATGCAATAAATTACAAAGCTGCAAGGGAGATGTTGATGCAAAAAAAGAAACGCTTGTATTGAACCCCTTGTGCAACACATTGTATTGTTTTGATGTTAAAGGACATTGAGAAGAAGATAATCATTCATGAAGAAACAATTCCAAAAGATAGAGAAATTATAATCTACATCTATTCAAGGACAGGTCTTATTTCTTTATTGCAACATTTCACCAAAGACAAAGATTTGGTAATGCCAACAATTGCTCGTTTTGCTACATCTTATTTGACTCTAAGGTACCTTCAAGAAAATAGAGTTACTTTGATAAGAATGTTCACATCTAATGAAGGGAAGTGCTCCAAGTTTGTTAAGACAAGGGATGGAAGAGTTATAAAAGCATTGATTTTTGATAGAGTTTTGGAAGGATATAATCACCTATTTGAAGGCTACATTTCCTCTTATCAAAGTTCTTCAAATAGTTGATTCAAATAAAGAAACTATGGACTATATTTATGAGGCAATGGATCAAGCTAAAAAGAATATTTAAACTGCTTTAAATAGTGTTAAGAAAAGGTAGCTAACTACTATAAAATTAAATTAACAGATATTTTGTGATCTGTACTGTATTGTATATTAATTCTTTGTTGTTTATTCTCTATTAGCTATGTACTTATATGGAATATCATAGATGAAAAATGGGATAAACAACTTCACAGGCCTTTGCATGTTTTAAGCTATTTTTTTAACCCTAAAATGCACTATAGTCCTAAGTTTAAGGTTGATTTTGAAGTTAAGCATAGACTATATAATTGTTTGACAAGAACGGTGCTCGATCAAAATGAACAATGTAAAATTGATTGTCAACTTGATTCATTTAGAAAGCAAGATAATTTTGGTAGTCACTTGACTAGAAACATTATTGATATGCATTTGTCAATTGATTGGTGGTGGGTGTCTCATGGAGATGAGCATCCTGAGCTTCAAAGATTTGCTATTCGAATACTAATCTTGACATGTAGTTTTTCTAGGTGTAAACATAACTAGAGTGCCTTTGACTACTATGTGGAAATCATATTCCATTCTGGCAAAAGCTCACCATAAGTGTTAAGCTTAACTTGTAGCTCATCAAGATGTGAGTGCAATTGGAGTATTATTTAACATGTAAGTAATAAGTGTTACATAATTTTTTTTATAGATGTAAAGATCCTAATTTATAGAAATTTTTGAAAAGAAATTAATATTTATTAAATAATTAGATTTATTCTAAGAAGAGGAGCTAACTTGAGCACCTAAAGTTGCAATATTTAGTTTAGTGAAATATAACCGTACTTTGAAAGATTTTTATGAAAGTAGTGATGTAATTGATCTAATTGCTCTCAATGATATTGATGATTGCTATGAGTGGCTGATTGGAGAAATGGGTGAAAATGAGGAAGCTAATGAAAATGAACTAGTCTTTGATGATGATACTTTAACCTAGGGCTTAGTTGCTGATGCTATTAGGGCTGGACAGCCTGCAATTTAACTAGACAGTAAAAATTGAAGAAAAAAGATGCTGCTACTGGTGGCTCTAGCTCTAGGAAGGTGAAGGGCATTATATAAGAGCAAGAGCAAGAGCAAGAAATGGAAGATGATACAAAAACTGAGGAAGAGCACATTTACAGAAGTAAGACTGAGAGTGACGATGAAAAGGGTTATCTTTCAAAAACTAAATCAGATACACTATTGTTGTTTTAGACTATAATATACTCTCTCTGATTTTTTTTTATAAGAAACAAAATAGAATATTTTTTTTGTTCTTATTATAAAAAACAAATGATAGATTCATTAATTATTAAATTTTTTTAAACCTTTTTTTTATTAGTATTATTAAATATACAAATTACTAACTACACCATTTATAATCATGAGTATTTTTGAAATAAAATTTATTTCTATGAAAAACATAATTGATTTAATTGTTTCCCTTGATCCTCATAATTTAATTTTTTGTTTCTTATAAAAAGAACTGGAGAGAGTATTTTGCTTCCTACCCTCTACTTGTATATTTTGAGAGATCATATGTTATTGCTGGGAATTATAAATTTTTTAGTATATTTTGAGCATTTTATGTGTAATTATGTGCATATTAAAATATATGGTCCCATTATAGCACTTTCAAGATCAGCCACTATGCGCTGCTATCCAAAATTAATAATTATGGATGAGATGATATCAAAGAGAAAAAACACAGGTGCTTGAAGTAGAATATAGAAAAATCCATGTGAAACACTAAGTAGATTGAAAGAATTCTTTAAATATTAAGATTTGATATTTTGAGCTGCCAGTGCAAAGATGTTAGTCAAAATGAAAATCAAATTACTATTCAGAAACAGATTTGACCAGGATTTTCAAAGAATTACCTTGTACAAACCATCATATGTGTACACTTTACGAGTGTAACTGCTTGAAGATTCATGACCACGAATAACCCTTACAGGCACACCTTGCTCAACACAATTCTACAATTGAAGTTCAAAGCATGTTAGATGTGCCTTTATACATCAAATACAAGATGCGACGCAAGACACTAACACAACACAACATGAACGCGCAATATGACAAATTTTAAAAATTATACAACATAATGATAATACAACACATAAAATTAACATTAACTAGAATCACAAATCTTAAATAAAATCAATGTTATCAATGGCGGGTGACGGTTCATACGAAAACAAAAAAACTATAAAGTTATAGCAATCGCCATGGCGTGTTATGACAAATTTATGGCAGATATAATAAAATATATAAAAAGTATTATAATATGCATATATAATATTTATGTACACAGAAATTTAATATAAATGTTCAAGAAATTCTCAAGATGGTGTGTTTTAAGAAAAACATAAAAGGGTTTCTTCCTTTCTCCAAAATTACTCTCCCTATTCTGGCCGCAAACCACCCGACAACCACCACGAAGTGACAAACACCTCGCAAAGTGGCAGCAGTGGTGGCCAACGGCTGCTCTGCACTTCACCAACATGATAACATTGCTATTAACAAGTCACCTTAGGGTTTTTTTGTCAGGTCAACCTCTAGACCGGGTCAGGTTCACGGCTCAAGCCTGCAAAAAGGTCATTTTTCAACAATTTCCGCCATGGCCACCGTTACCTCCATGCGTGTAACGGCTGCCAGGAAAAATGCCATAAAACGCTAATGCTATAACAGCGGAGTTAATTTCCACCATCGAATTCTGCCATTTAACAACATTGAATAAGATAATAATGTTTTAAGAGTGTGAATAATTCCAAACATAATAAAATACTACAATTTATCAAATAATCATGATATTCACTTTCATATTGATGTCAAAGTTTTAAAAATACAAGTTAAAAAAATGCAATTAGAAGTATTTGAATTGTCTATGAAGTGTCTAATATGGAGACTTGTTTGACATGAGTATGACATGGGTGGGTACTGTCAAAGCATTTGTAATTTGAAAGCATATCATGTGAATAGTTTTAAATTACTTTAGCATGTTGAGTAGTGAATTGAGGGGCAGTTTTTTCTTCTTTTGTAAGTTGTGGGATAGAGTTGTCATTTGGCACTCTATAAGAAGCAGTGCTTAGGGACATTAGAAGAACATTTCTTCTGTATAGTTTCCTTTTTCTGTTGCAAAATAATACAAACAATCTTTATTTTCTCTTCATTTTGGTGTTTCTGCCCTTTATCCTCTTTTGTGATTTTCGAGTTTGTAAAAAATTGATCCAACCTACCATATTATTCTTAGACAGTGAATGCCACCATAGAAGAAAAAAGCAGCATTCACCAAAACACGATCAAAGGAAACAGCAAAGTATGGGGAGATGGAATAGAGAATCATCTTTGTTGAAAGGGAGTTAACGAGTATGAGAGCCACAATGGAGGCACTGCGTAAGAAGACTAAGGAAAATCAATCAAAACTATTTTCCCTACTTTCCAAAATGCAGAATAAACTAGAAAATCACTAAAGAAGGAAGGTGAGAACTCTGAATCTTCTGGTGCTGAACAGAACAAGATCCCAAAAAAGACAATTGCTAGTAATAGTTCAGGTCCGAAGAAATTATGGAGGCACTAGACAAGTTCCAATAGTCGGTGAAGGTCAAGTTGCCAATGTTTAATGGCAAGGATCCCGCAAGATGGATAACTAGGACTAAGATTTATTTTCATGGGCAAGAAACTAGCAATGCCATTAGAGTCAACCTGGCTCAGCTATGTATGGAAGGAAGAGCGGCCCACTTCTTCAATTCATTTATGAATGAAGAAGACCTCAATTGGGATTGTTTAAGAAAGCTTTGCTCGATAGGTATAGGGGTTGAAGGTAATGCTTATGACCAACTTATGGCCTTGTTGCAAGCCAGCAATGTTGAGGAATACATTAAAGATTTTGAGTTCCTCACTGTGCAAGTCCCTAAGATTCCAGAGGCACATTACTTTGCATATTTCCTTCAGATTAAAGAAGAAATCAAAGGACAAATACAGTGTCCATAAATTGGAAAATCTATCTTGTGCACACTTTATGACATGACAATCAAGGTGGAATTGGAATTGAAGGGAAAGGGCAAGACGGTAAACTCACAAGCAAGAATGAGTCCCGTTTTGGAGTTGGATGGCACGACACACAATTTTATCTTGAAGAAGCTGGTTAATGCAATGGATTTGGAGGCTGAAATAACAAAGAGCATGAGGATATTGATGGTCAAACTACAGAGACTAAGGGCACTTGTTGTGGTCAAATTAAAGACAAGTGGGAGACTCTGTGGAGCAAGAAGTGAGGGTCTTAACTAGATAGCATAGGGAGGAGTGGTGAAGATGAACTCTCGATGTGCGGAGAGAATTATGATGTCTCCAAAATTGAAAGATTATAACAAGGTGTCTTTAACCAAAAAGCAGATGCAAGAACTAGAAGCTTTATTGGGCCATTATGAGAACACTTTTCAAGAGCCAAAGGATTTGCTTCCTTTGAAATCCAAAGCCCACAGTATAACCTTGCTGGCTAGACAAGGACCTTGAATGTACGACCATACTATTATGCGCATAATCAAAAAGATGAGATAGAAAGACAGGTCAAGGAGTCATTTGGCACAACAACAATGCCTATTCTAGCCCTATAATTTTGGTACTTAAGAAAGACCAGTCTTGGAGGATGTGTGTCAATTATATGGCCTTTAATCATAGTAGTCAAGCCTAGATAGTGGCACGGAGTGGCTGACCCCTAAAATGCTATGGTGAGATAGTGAATAACGGGATGACTACTATTTAAGGCAGTTTAGATATCCCTAGAAAAGTTTGCTGGAGATGAAGATGATTGAAGAACATTTGTGTAGCATCAAAAGCCTTGTCAAAGATGGACACCAGAAGCAGTGGAATCGCATAGAACATAGATGAAAAATAGAATGAAGGAGAACTGAGAGATGAGAATGAGAAGGCCTAGGGCTCGCGAGGGAGAAGGAAGAAGATATCAAAAAGAGGGGGAAAAAATCCTAAGATTGTCCCCTTTAAAATCTCCCAACATTTAGAAACAAAGGGCAAATTCAGATTGAGTGCAGATGGAATAGCAGTCACAATAGCCACAATTTCCCGTTTTTGCTGCAATTCATGGACACAGAAGAGTTGTTGGATGAGTTGAATGGAGCTAGTTTCTTCTCCAAATAAAGGGGAGAATATTCAAAAGACAACATTTAAAATTCATGAAAGCCATTATGAACATCTTGTAATGCCTTTCAGGCTCATGAATGCTCCCTCTACTTTCCAATTGTTGATAAATTGAGATTTTGTGGCAAGTTGAGGAGGTATTTTTTTATGACTTCTTAATATATAGCAAGAATTGGACATCTCATTTGGCTCATTTGAATGAAGTTTTGGACATTTTAGAATTGTCTCTTAGCACAAAGGAGTGTTGAGAACTTGGGTCATACTATATTGCAACAGGGAGTTTTTGTGGATACAGAAAAAATGGTTTTAAATTGGCTAGTTTCAAAAAAAGTTAAAAGAGCGAGAGAATTTTTTGGCTTACCCAAATACTATAGAAAGTTCATTTGCAATTATGTGCTTTTGATGAGCTGAAGAGGAGAATGACTTCTGCTTCAATTATGGCCTGACCAAACTTTTACAAGGAATTTACCATGGAATGTGATGCTTTTGGTTTAGGTGAGTGTCATCCTCATGCAAGATAAACATCCTATGGCATTTTTCAGCAAGGCTATGGGGTCCAGAAATTTGACTAAATCTGCCTATGAGAAGAAGTTCATGGCCATTATATTAGCCATTAACCATTGAAGGCCATACCTATTAGGGATGAGATTTCAGGTTGCCACTGATCACAAAAGTTTGAAACAATTACTGCAATAGAAGATAATCATAGACAGAATTGGATTGCTAAATCATGGTAAATAAAGGAGCAAATGCGTTATCCCAAAAAGAAGAGGATGGTGAACTAAGGACGTTGACATATTTCCCTCTATGGTTAGTCAAGCTATTATTGAAGAAGTAATGAAGATGATAAGCTGAAGGAGATTATCTAACAGTTCCAAAAGGGAGAAAATGTCCAGTTGGGTTTTCCTACAAACATGTCAAGATTTTGACAATGCCTATGACAGTGCTAGCTTCCAAAAACATTGTCAAGCATGGAGACAGGGGTCAAGCAATGGCTTGTGCAATAAGCTGAGAAACCAGCAGAAGAAGCAACATGGGAAGTTGCACTAGTTATATGAAGTCAATCCCCTCATCTCAATCTTGAGGACAAGACTCAAGTTGATGGAGGGGGTAATGATGGAGATTGAGAAGAAAATGGGCCTGAGGAGAAAGTGATCCATGAAGCTTCAGCCAAGCCCAGGGATTGGATAGTGTATGTGAGGAAAAGAAAGAAATTAAGAAATATTTGATATGTGCTGGGTTGACATAGTTATGGAGAGAGAATAATTTTTATTACTTAGGCATGTTGACCAATGAGTGGAGGGGCAATTTTTTGTTCTTGTGGAAGTTGTGGGAAAGAGTTGCCGTTTGGCTCTGTAAGGAGCATTGCTCTGAGGCACTAGAAGAACCCTTCTTCTACATAGTTTCCTTTTTCTGTTGCAAATTATACAAACTTCCCTTATTCTCTCTCAACAATGTTGTTTCTACCCTATATCCTGTTCTGTGATTTTCAGGTCTGTAACATCATGCATGATTAAACTCATTTTAACTTTTATAACCAGTAAGGCAGTAAATAGTATAAATTCTACATGCATACAATAGCACTGCAGATATTTCATGAACAATAAGAAATCATCAAAATTCAAAGGCATTAAGAGATCATTCAAATGCACATTGCACACCTTGAGAGCCAAATTACCACGTTCCAACTTTTGATCCCGAATTTGACGCTTATCACCAGTCAAATTATGCCCACCTTGACCAGTGTATACAATATCCTCGGCATTATCAAGATCATCTTCATACATGCCCGACAAAACAATGGCAACAGCAAGTGGGAATTTATAGTTGCTGTGCTGTGACAGCCAAGAGGGGGAAAAAAAGGAAATAAATAACATAGGTTCATATGGCATATTAAACTCAAACCTGTTCTACAAAAGTCACATGTATAGTTTATGATTTTCAATATTTCAAATTAGAACAAAAAGAAATTTCATTACCACTTTAGAATAGGACAAGCCCATATAATCTATGCCATTTAACCAATGGCTATGAAAACCAACTACCACCATTTCAGCACGAGAATAGAACTGATGTCCAACCTCAATACCTGTCATTATGAAAAAAAAAATTTAACAAGTAAATAAGGAACTATTGTCATAAAAAAATAGGATCATTCAGAGAACAAGCTAACTATAAGAGGTAACATCTGTCAGTGCTAGGAGACAACAAGCAGGTTAAATCCATTATGTTCTAAAGGCCAATAGCAGCAGCAATGCAAGATGACCACCAACCTGGAATGTTGCCAATTCTTTTCTCTGGGTACAGTGTCTCATTATTTTCCATCATCTGCCAAAAATCTCCAATTTGAAGATAGTGTTAAAAGAAAAGACAACAAGCTCAGTGTCCTAGAAAGTACAATTAAATTGATTTCAACTAATCATAATCAAATCAAAATAGAAGATAATATAAAAGATTAATAAAGTTAAGACTATACACATCTCTAAAAAACAAAGTTGTCACCACAGACTTGTACAATGTTATTTTATAAAACAGTCCATTAAATTGTTTCAAAGAGATGGATCATGATCAATTAAAAAATGAATTGGTAAGATATCAGGCATCAATCGCTACAAATAAAGAAGAAAAATGATAAAAAAGAATAATGTAAATGCATGGCAATGACAGAGTAATGATAAATATCATAAAAGCAAAATCCTATATTATTAGATCATCTTATCAAAGAGTATCATGAAATTTATAATCAAGATTCTGCCAAAAAAAGAACGTTGAAGTTTCACTTGCCTTGGATACAGCCTTTAGATCAGGTCGCTTGGCAGTGGTCTTTGAACCTTTAAGTCGAGCATCTCTCTGCACATATTAATAAATATGGTTTTATTGATAACTTATTGTAAAACCAATGATGAAGCAAAAAATTTAGCATACAATTAGTAGGATTTGAAGCTCCTCATAGACATTGAAACACACTACCACTAAAAGCAACAGCTTCACTCCAACTGAAGTGTGCTTTACCATTTTAACAAGAAAAGAAAAAATAATTTATAATTTTGGATTTTGGAAGTATTCACCATTAACTCTGAATTTAAAAATTGCCTTGACAACACTCAAAGCTCATACATTCAGCATATTTGCCTAGAATAGCAAAACTATTCAGGCAATATGTGATAATGAACAACCAAATATTAGTGACTGATGAAAGAATTTCCCATCTTCAAATTGAAAAGAAAAAAAAACCTGACATATGAACTGGACACTTCGAAGACCCATGTGCTATGCTATATTATTTTAGTTCAATAATAAAATGAAATGCAGCCTGAAACTTGTGAGAAGATTCTGCTAGTGCTAATGCCCTATCAAAAGTCCAGAGTCATACCAACAAAAGGTCTTATCACTGGCAAACCTAGAAGGCCCAGCAGCAAAATATCGGTTCAGCCAGGAGTAGTGTGTATGATATTTTTTTTTAACACAAATTCCCAAGCATGCAAATGGAAAAGCAATAGTCAATTACTTCTTGGCAGTCATTCATTAGACTCATTTTCAATAGAAAACCAAACACACAGGCAACCACCAAATCCAAATTAAAAAAAAAAAAACAATATCCAATGCAGAACACCAATAATATCACTCTATTCTTCATTCATCCCCAAATGAGATCATTAAAATATCTTTATTTTAGAGTGCATTTAGATAACTGCTTATTTAAACACTTGTTCAATAAGTTCCTTTTAAAATAATAACTTATGCCATAAATTTAACTATAAAATTTATTGGAATAATCTGAAAACAACTTATGTTGATGAGCTGTACTAAGAAACTAATTGAAATAAATTGAGAGTGGCTTATGAAAATTGTTATTTTTCATAAGCTATTCCAAATAAACTCTTAAAAAGACAAGGAACTCCTGGAAGCATTGCTGCCTCATAATGCCTACTGTTCAAAACAGAGAAAAGAGAGATAATCGCATTAATATTACAATCCTCTAGTACCAACAACTAATGGTCACACCAACCTTTGATTTTGACCCTTTTGCCTGTCTAGCGGCTTTCCGCTCAGCCTCAGCTTTACTACATCGCTTCGCTTCTTCCTGCACGTGCCAGAAAGGCAACATCCACCATATTGAACAACAGAGACGCAGCAGAATCAACGGTTGAAAAGCACGATACAGCAGTGAATGCAATATAATTATTGCTATCGTGAACATGATAAGTTAACAAACTAACCTGAACACAAAGAAGATAATGCTTATTAAACAAGCGTATCGTCTCTTTAACCTTAACAAAGTCGCTCTTCTCCACCGAAAGCCCAACCACATTTCCTGATTCCACCTTTCTTTCTTCATTTTTTTCCTCCAGCTTTTGGTGCGCCACCGGCTTCTTCTTTTGTGGCTCCAAAACAACCTCTCCTCTAGCCACACCCTCCTCATCGAGACTTTTTCTACTGCGTTTGTTCGACTTTACCGTCACCTCGTGGCTTTTCACTTTCTCTTTATCTACCTCCGTTTTTTTACGTGCAAGAAGCTCCTCTGTTTTATGCTTCGCTTGAATTCGAGCACTGGCTCTCCGCTGCATAGGCATATCCTTCGACTCTCTCGATTTGTTCTTAGCCGCAGCTCCTTCACCGCCATTTTCCAAGGCGATTTTGGATTCGGAGCTCTTCGCCACTTTGGGAGAAACCATTAGCTGCTGAGGAACAACTTCCAAAGATTGCACAACCATCTAAATCTGAAAAAAAAAACCGAGAAAAAAAAGATAAAATGAGAATGAGAATAAAACACAGAATGTCGAAAACTGAAAACATCAACAAAGAATAAAGCAAACAACCACTTGTAACTAAAATTTTCCGAGAAAACAAAAATCTGGAGGAGTTGCTTCGATTAGAAGTTTCTAGGGTTTGGAGATAGTAAAGATGACGATGAGCGAGAATGAGAGCAGAGGAAGGAGTGAGGTATAGAAGAGAAGTTGAAGATTGATTTTCGTTTTGGTGTGTTGATAACTATAGCTTCCCTCTTGAGTAGCGGAATGAAGAGACGCATTGCCAAATAATATTCACATTGTGTCATTTCGTAGCTCCCATTTTAAATTCATTGTTACATTTTCTATATTTTAATTTTTTTTTATGTTTTCGAGTTCCCGCTTCGCATTTTTACTCCCTAGCGAGTATGTACGAAAGTGCTTTGCGAGGTGGTGGACACGGAGACAGAAATTAGGGGTGAAAAAAATGATTCGTATGCTGCGCGAGGTTTGTTTAGCAGCTAATATGAACGGTCGATATGGAGACTACTTCGTGGGCTAATCTTGCAGAATGCATGAGAAATAATTTTAAAGGTGCGGGTGTTGAGAATATTTTGTATTTTTTTTAATTTGATGATTACTATTTTTTAATATTTTAAAACTTAAAACTTATTTATATTTTTTTAATAAATCATTCGCTCTCATTTTTTACTGTTTATTATATATTAATATAAAATTAATAATTATTATTATTTTATACGTGAAAAATATAAAATATTTTTTTAATTTATAAAATACAGTAAAAATTATTGATTTTAAATTTATTTATAATTTAATTTTATAAATATTTCTAATTGTTAAATAAAAATTATTCAATATATTTTATATTTTTTAAATACAAATACGTATCTTTCTATTTAATACCTATTTTATAAAAAAAACTCATAACCAGTAAATTTTAATTCTGATAATGCTGAATTCAATACATTAATAATATATCATGTTTCATTAAATACACAATCAAAAATCATTATTTTATGAAATAAAAAAATTTATTTAAAGATTTGATGACAAACTCCAGTTTGTTGAATCATATTATGTATAAAAAATGCTAATAACACAATTTTTTAAACTAATTTCTACAGTATATTAAAATTTGAAAGAATTCTTTAACAATTTTTTATTGATCAAAAACAGTATAATAATATATGTTTATTCATAGTCCATATTAGGTTGTGCTTATAGTACATATTTAGGGTATTTGCCTCAGGAACTCCTTTAATAGCACATTGGTGCAATTTCTCTTTCCACCACCAAGTTATTTTCAAAGTGGATATTTTGATTCCATTTTATTCAACGACTATTCACTCACCAAAAAGAGTCAAATCATGAGTCCCGGAGCTTGGACATTTGTCAAGATTCTGTAATAGCAGCACAGCACCTTCTTTTCCTGCAATTCTTCTTCGACCGATGAGAGAGCTCTTTTCCATCTGAATTCTTTGGCATTTATCCATTCCTCAGCTTTTAGTGAAGTTCCTTGCCTTCCTTTAGCATCATCCTTCTATTCATAAGACAATTCCCTTGTCCCCTTCTCTCCAGACAATATCCCCAACCTCAACTTCCTTATCTGGCATGCACTCAACCACCATGGTCACGTGTTTCTCGATGAAAACGAATATGCCCATACCAAGTTCGAGCAATCAAACCCTGGCATGGAAGCCTACGATGTTCAGTTCACCACCAGAGTGAGCAAGTATTCCAAGCTTATTTGACACGCTAAAGCAGAGTCCAAAATTGATTGCACACCTGTGAAGAACCTCTTGTTCTTCGAATGCAAGCTTGAAAACGATTTGTTCAATCTCCAAATGCACCGTAGTTCCCTTAAACAACTAAAATTCGCTGAAGTGAATTGAAGCGTGGTTATGCATATTTTTGTAGGATTTGTTTAAGCGAATCGAAACTGAACCGTTCCTGCGAGAGGATCCAGATTCAAACATGAGTGCTTACAAAACTCACTTTAGTTCTTGAAAGACTTCATGAACCCAAACAAGATAGGCATCATCTCCAATGCCATCACAAACTAGTCAGCACTCTCTTCAAGGACCCACCACTCCTACCTCTCTCATTCAAGGTCAAGTTCCAGTTTTTCAAGTTATTTTCTTGTTGCAACACCCTTCCTTTCCATTCTTCTCTCCTTTTCAGTCCTTGTCACTCTCTCGACATATACAGCTCTGTGTAAAAAAGTTTAAATTAGCGATAATGCCTTAAGAAGAGGAAGTGTCACTCGTTGCTGTAAAAAATTCTATTTCAACTTTTAAGATATGTTCACAATTTATTGGTCGTTAATGTGTTTTCATTTTATTAAATGTGTACTTTAGACCTTTAAATATAAATCTAAGAATTTTCATCTTGAAATTTATTTTTAAAATCTTATTGAATGTTATTGGTATTTAGATTTGTTGGGTAACACTTTCCTTATGATTTCAAAGTAGTCTTGGAAGGCAGTTAATTAATTATTCACAGTTGACGGGATAATAATTATAATAACATTTTTATAATTATTATTTTAATTATACATTATGTTAGTATTAGTTAAAATTATATACTTGGAGAAATAATATTAATTTTATTTAATAATGTAAATTTATTTGTGATAAAAAAAAAAGGGAGTAATTGTATTAGTTTGTCTAATGACATTTTTTTAATATAAAATATATGCATTGAGGCTTTAAATGTTGAAAATAATATTGATTTATATTTAAAAATAATGGTCTAGGTTCACTTATTTAGATCCTGGGTGGAAAGGGTGGACTATTCATTAAGTGGAGTAGCTTGTGCACAATGGAGGTATATTGCTACTACATGCAATAAAATGAGATATAATGGTATGACATGATTTGAAAGCGGAGAGAATTACCTATTAGATGTTGCCTTCAGGAGATAGCGCACTCTACTAAACAGCAGGAGACTGTTAGTAAAGTATAGTTATCTCAACCTTGATTCAGTTATGCATGACCCTTAAAAATATTTAAAAGCACATCATTTATGATATTTTAATAAATTTTTATTTCAATTTCATTTTTATATGTAATTTATTATGCTAATCATGAATTTAAGAATTTATTGTTTTATTGCGTTTCCTAACTTTTAATTTAGGTTAAGTTCTCATAATTTTGATTAGAAAACTACAGTAATTTACATTGTGTTAAAATGTTAGAAACATGTACTATGATTACAATCTATCTGCTTATAAATTGTTTTTTCTTATCATTAATTACAATAGTTAAGGCATTTACCCTTTTTTTATTTTTTATTTTCACTTAATAGTGAAGTTGAAAGCCATTGGAAACTCCAACACGTTCTAATAAAGTCTTTGTTACGTCTTTCTTGTTATGATGGCCTTTTTATTATTATTATTATTATTACACTCTAGATTGTTTGCAACTATCAAGGAGTTAGACCTTATTTTGATGATATAACATGTATGTTTTGATATTAATATTATGCAAATTTTAAGTCTCATTGGTTGTTGAACTATAGATTAATTCTAATAGGCTAACATAATTTTTGGATGTTAAAATTTAAAAATATTATTAAAATTTTGATAAATTTATCATACTACTTATTTAATAAAATTTGTTATTTTGTATTATTATTCAAGTAGGTTATGTTTTTTTGGTAACTTTAGCCTTTGTGGAGGTTATAGACCAATTCCAAGTTGTAAGAAGAGCTTCCTCTTTACATATGTAGTGTTAATGGTTCATGTGTCTCAATTACTGATGAAACCTATAAATTAGGCAATAAAATATATTTATTCTTAAAAATAATTGTCACTCGTATTTACTTATAAAATAAAATAAATTTAAATAGGTTTTTTGTTTTTATATTTCACAAACTGTTTTTTTAATTCCTCTATTTTATTGTTATTTATATTCTTTAAAATTTAACAATTTTAGTTTGTAGTGATAGTTATGTGTAACTTTCATACAAATTGTTATTAAAATTTACTTTTAAAAAACTTTGAAAGAAACCTTTAAAAGTACTGTGATCTTTAAAATCATATATATATATATATATATATATATATATATATATATAAAAGCAATGCACAGAATAATTTATAATATTAAATTTTAAAAATTTTATTATTAGAAAATTATAAAATAAATTTAAACTATTTAATAATTTAATTTACATATATTTATCATATAAATATATTAATTATTTTTTACTATTCAAATAAAATATATTTTGATGATATTATTTTAGAATAATATAAATAAAACTAAGGTTATTATGATTATTAAAATAAGTATTGTTATTTTATCATAAAATTAAAAAAAATTATTATTAGAAAAAAATATTATTTATTAATAATATATGATATATAATGTAATAATATATATTTTGTCGATAATTTTTATTTAACACATATATTTATATATTAAAAATTTGTCAAATAAAAATATAACATATATACATGGATCGTTATATGATATTTGTCATTATTAATATAAATGTAATTATTTTTTACTCTTTAATAAAAAAAATTAATTTAAAAAAATTGTATTAATATCACTAATATTTAAAAGATGAGATTATTATTATTAATTTTATTGTATTATAAGATTATTATAATTATTAAAGTAAGTATTATTATTTTGTCATAAAACAAAAAAAGAATATTTATTAATAATGTATAATATATAATACAATAATGAATATTTTGTTGATAATTTTGACTTAAAATATATATTTATATAACATATATTTGTCACATAAACATATAACAGATCAAATATATATTAGTGATTATATGCTATTTATTATTATTAATATAAATGTAATTATTTTTTCACTCTTTGACAAAAAAATTAATTTAATAATATAAATATATCAACTAATTTTTACTATTTAAATAAAGTACATTTTGATCATATTATTTTAAATAATATAAATAAAATAAATTTGATATTAGACACATCC